GTTTTCAACTGAGGAGCTTTGATATATTTATTTAAAATAAATTATAGCAGAGGAAGTTCTCTGCACAGAAAAAAAAATATTTTTACTGTTTTTTTTTAACCAAACTGACAAGTTTCTCCAGTAAAGTTATTGTGTAATTTAAAGACAATGAAACACCTGGTTAAATTTAGAAGATATTATGATTAACTACAAACATCTGAAGCTGACTCAGAGAACTCTGTGATTTTAGAAAAAATAAAAATCAAATGTAGACACATCTTTTAAAGACCGTGAAATTCTTAGAGGGGCGGGCCGTCTCGTTGGCGGGGGGCCGCCGCCCCGCCTGTATAATGGTAGGGGAACCACTGAAACAATATACTTGTTAAATTACGTTTTTCTTAAGTTTCTTTTGGACAAACAAAATGTTTTGCGGACAACCAGGTTTTGTTAACAGGTTGTCAAATATCTTTATGTCTTCCCCTGACCAGGCTCGTCTGAACTTTGCATTTTTTTATTTCAGATTATGGTTCACTGTTCGAGTTGGAGCATGACCTCCCAGATGAGCTCATCATCCCTTCTGAACCAGGTTTGGTCAATGGTGGGGACCTCAACCAGTTGCAACTGCACACCAGTTTGGGAGGAGGACCCGCAGGATTGGGTGCTGGAGGTGGTAATGGAGCAGCAGGAGGACTAGGTCTTGGACTTGGTCCTGGGAGTGTTGGTGGAGGTCAAGATGCTGTGGCCAAGCATAAACAGCTGTCCGAACTTTTGCGAACAGGGCCAACCACCTCAAGTCAACAAGGGCATCGGGGAACCATGGGCAACCCCGGGGGCGCTGCAGCCATGGGCCAACATTTGGCCAATATGAAGGCATCTTCAGGTCAAGGGCCTCAGCAAATGATGAGCCCGGGACAGCAGCACCTCTCCCCTCAGCAGCAGGCCAGCATCATGCAACAACAGAGTGGAATGATGGGTAACAGGGCCATGATTGGTGTGCAGCAGAAAGCCAATAATGGACAGCAGCAGCCAGGGATGATGGGGAACCAGGTGATGAATGGCTCCCCTAGGATGGCCTTTGGTAATCAGGGGATTGCTGGAGGTAGCAACCTGTTGGGTGACACTCTGCAGCAGCAAGGAGCTGGTGGGCAAGTTGGAGCAAGAGGCCAACAACACGGAGCAATGAACAAGGTAGGAACCAGTGGTGTGCAGCTCTGCATAATGTGGTATTAATCCAGTACCAGTTAAACACAGGAACAGTGTTATCATTTGTTTTAGGCCTGGACGGTATGACAGTATTTTGGTGTTTTGTGATATTAAAATATGGTGATGGTATCGGTTGAGAAAAATTTTAGGTCAATTACAGTGATCAGCTGTGAGCCTCTTTACTCAATCAAACATGGTGGTGATGTGCGTGACAACAGCCAATGAGAATTCATCCTCTCTTGCTCCACTTCCATTTAGAAGCTGCTAAGGAAACGCAGGCGGAATCACAGAATTGACCAAACAAAATGTAATCTGGTATAAAACGCTGAATCTCACAGAATTTGTTTATTTGAGCCTGTTTCTGAGGTATTTTGGCCACTGCTGCTCCCTGTACCTGCCGTTACCTGCTAACAGGGACACCGGATGAGCTCCCCTCCTGACACAGAGAGGAAAAAAGAAAAGTGAACTGCGATGTGCCGCGAAACAGACTCTAAAACAGAAACATCTTCCAAAAATATGAAGCTGAGGGTAACGTTTAGGACAGAACAGTGTCCCAGCGGTTCTTCATTTATCTGGAGAAGAACTTCTCTGTAAGCTTGCTCAGCACATGGTGGGCTGGATGTGTATGGAAACGTGAAGACCACTTCCTGTCTGAGTCACATCACAAACCGTGAGCTGACAGAGACGTGCTGTAAACTCCTGAACACTCAGCAGGTGGCAGTTTATCCAACATTTAGTTGTGTGTGCAGAATCGGATATTTCTTTAGAAAAATGAAACGGTTGAAACAGTGCGTTTTTTGATAAAACACTGGAAGCAGGAGGGGGCACAGGGTTTCCTTCCAAAACAGAAGTAAACTAGATACCGCATAGCGGGAACAAAATGACCCCCGAACGCACAAATGCACCAGAACTCAGAAGTCTTTATTCCTAATAAATGTCATAGGTGCATCCTAAAATTGTGGTGGTTTGGGTAGGGGCCTTTTTTTTTTGGGTGGGGAGGGGTGGGGAGGGGGGTAGCATTGGTGGGCCTGATGGATAGAGCTTCATCAGAGCTAAACAACAAAAGAAATCTGAAGCTCCTATGTTTAATCGTTTCTGAGTTATAAGCATTTTTGCACGTCCAGACACCCCCTCTTTGAAAGGAGCCCCCTCCTCAAATATGGGGTCTAGTGTAAAACCGTTGGCTGGCACAGTGTAGGTCAGACTCATCTACAGTCCTGACTCATTTCATGTTGATCAGTGCAGCTGTTTTTGTGCTACGGTTGACCAAAAATCACTGAGCAAATAAATAAATAAATTAATTAATTAAAAAAAAACAGTATGAAAACAATATGACTCCTGCTTACACTTCACGTGTGGGGGGTCATAATAATCCCCCCAAAATGTATAAATTCCCCCGCTCTGAAACATGTAAGGGGGACCCCCCCCCCCCCCCCTTTCAAAAGTGAATTTCAGGCACTGCTGTCATAATTTTTTTTAATACTGTCATCATATTTTGATACTGCGGTCTAACAAAATACCTTCATACCACCCAAGCCTAGTGTGAAAATAATCAAACCCCAGCCCACACTGGTAAAGTACTCGGGGCACATTTTTCCAGCCGGAATATTATTATTGTTGCAAACTTCAGGGTAAATATTGTCACATGAATATGTTAACATTAGATAATGCTGAAGAATGGAAATTTTTGACCATGTTGCATTTAACATCAAAGTTTTACAGGTTCTTTTTTAAAAAAAATTACTGTCCTTATTAACTCACAAAATTAGTTAACGGTCTAGTAAACATAAAATTCTATATTTGAACCAGAATTGTACAATACCTATAACTTATTGAAAAGTATTTAAAGTGATTCTATGAAAATTCTACGTGAAAATATTTAAGGGCTGAACAATTTCTGAACATCTTAAACAATATTTGTTAAATGTCTTAGATTAAACATGACCCTCAGATAACTCCTGTAGTTTGATCTTCTGCATCTTTGGCCTCGGCTAACTCAGAATGATGAACAGAGAATATTGATTAATAGCAGAAATATTACTAATATTTATTAAGAGTGTACAGCTTTTAAAAAAACAACAGAACATGAAAAAGTCTGCAATTTACTTTATATGAGTTGAATATTATATATCTCTCACATAAATAACTAAGAAATGTACTTATAAAACCAATTTCAGATACTTAAAATGTAACTGTGGTGAAACTGATTCAAATCAACCTGCCATACATGTGACTGTGAGCTTCTTCATGCTGCTGAAATTATCTGCTGCTGCACTCCCAGAGCAAAACCCGACTGTTAGATTAGCAAGATGGACTTAAGAGCAAGCAGCCATCCATATGTTCTTTTTAACAACAAAAAAAATGTTTTTCAAACTCCAGTTTGAAAAAAAAAAACCTCTACAGTTGTTTGCACACACGTGTGTGTACATATTTTTGCTTCATGGTGGGGACAGTTTTTTTTGTCACTTCAGTAGAAAACGAAACCAAATRTTATTAGTTTATTTAGTTGATTTATTTCTTCATCATCAGTGACTTATTTAATATTTATTTTTTTAAAGTGAAGAGAAAATAGAGAGAGAGAGAAAAACAGAGAGAAGTAATTACAAAGATTGAAATAGTGATTAGAAGTATATTAAATATATACCAACAAAACACAGGACCACACACCCAACATCTGTCCACTCAACTGAAAAATAAATGGATAAATACATGGAGGGCAGATATATAAATATATACACATACCCATACATATACATACATGCCTACATTCATAAATATTGTCAGTATATACACACAGACATATATACACACTCAGTGACCAGTCAGAACCCCCGGATCAGAGCACCTGTTTGTGAGCAGTTGTGAACATGCGTGTATATACAAGATTTCTCCAATGGAATATTTAATAGTGACTGTGGAGGACGTAGACCCAACCCCCAAGACACGAGGCAGACATAGGGAAGACCAGAGCCCAAGGGCCCGAGAGGGATCCCGAGCGCAGAACCCCAAGGGGCACCCGCGCGGGAAGATCCGCCCGCCCACCCCCCAGATCAGACCATAGGGGAGAACTGGGAGAGTCCCCCTAGTGACCACATGCACAGCCCCCGGGGCCAGCAGCGACAAACTCATGGGCCCCACCGGCACCTGCCATACCAGAGCAGATCCAGGAAAGGGCACAGAGGTCCGGGCCCCCAGGGCGCACCCCCTCCAGTCCAAAGCCCGACAGGGCCAGAGGCCCCGAGCCCCAGCAGGCAGTCGCCAGGCCGGCACACACCCCAGCGCCCAGCCCCAGACCCTGGGAACCCCCAGCACGCCGGCGGCCAGCCGCACACCCCACCGGGGGGCCGAGTAGCAACGGGCCCCCAGATAAACCAGCAGGAGGGGCAGCCCAGACCGCAGCCTGACAAATACCAATCGCACCATCCCACCTTCATCCTCACTCCCCACTCAATCAAAGACATACAAGGACGCTACATTCCACTCATACCCCCGATACACACTCTATACACCCCGGGTCCAGGACATGCACCCACCCCCTATTGGAGGCAGCACACACCCGAACCCAGGAGGTAGACCCAATCATTCTGAGGTGGAGAGGAGCAGATAG